ATAAGTACCCTTGCCGTCTGGTTCTTCTGGCCAGGGACCTGCCGCCAATATGCGAGGCACAAAACCCCGCGTGCAGATCTTCCAAAACTTCTCTCCCCCTATCCGGGGTTACACATTTCAAAAACGGCTGCAGGTATCCCTTTCGGAGGAGTTCCCCTTGATGCATAACAAAACTTGAAGCACGCTTCTTGAGCGCTGATGCTTCTGAAGGGTCATCCGGCAAGGTACCATCCGTCAAAAAGGACCGGATGGGATCCATCCAGGTAGCGGTTCTGTCCAAGACTCCAATGGGATCATTCTGAATACTTCGTTTTTCAATGACATCCCAAAAGACCGTCCTAGGAGCATCACCGGAGGCTGATGATGCCAACTTTGAGAGGGCATCCGCCTGATTGTTTTCAGACCGGGGCACCTGTCGCAGATGAAATTCATCGAAGGATCCAGCCTCCTCTTTGACCGCCTGCAAATATTTGATCATAGCCGGATGGGTGGCTTCGTAGTCACCAAGGTATTGGCTAACGATCAGCTGTGAATCTGAGCAGGCGTCGACCTTCCTTGCACCGGCTGCCTTACACATGCGCAATCCGGCTAGCAGGGCTTCATACTCCGCCTCATTGTTGGAGGCTTGGAACTTGAACCGTAGTGCATATTCAAACTTATCCCCTTCCGGGGAATGACAGATAACACATGCACCACAGCCGTTCACCGTAGAGCTGCCGTCTACAAATAACTTCCAGACCTGATCAGGGTTTTCCGGGTGCACCGGCCTAGTCATCTCGACAATAAAGTCGGCAAACGCCTGACCTTTCACTGCCCGCCTGGGTTCAAAAGTTATCTCAAGGCCTTGTATTTCAACAGCCCACTTGATCATTCTACCGGATGACTCTATAGCAGTCATCGTACGCTTGAGCGGCTGATCTGTGTATACCACAACCGGATGTGCCAAAAAATAAGGCTTCAACCGCTTGACTGCTACGAATAAGGCCAACCCAAATTTTTCGATCATGGGGTACCGGAGCTCAGCATTTTTTAAGACATGGCTGATGAAGTACACCGACAGCTGAATGCCGTCTCTCTCAGCGAGGAGAACGGCACTAAGGGCGTGATCAGAGACGGCTAGGTACATGTACAGAACCTCCCGGGGTAGGGGGCTCACTAGCCTTGGCAAAGAATGCAAGTGCTGCTTAAGCCTCTGGAATGCCGCCTCTGCTTCTTCACCCCATTCAAACCTTGACCTCTTCCTGATTGCCTGAAAGAAATAGAGGCACTTGTCACCTGACCGGCAGAGGAACCTCCCCAATGCCGCCAGACAACCGGTCAACTTCTAGACTTCTTTTACAGTGCGGGGAGACTTCATGTCAATTACCGCCTGTATTTTTTTCCGGATTAGCTTCGATGCCTCTTTGGTCAATCAAGAATCCGAGAAACTTCCCAGACTCAACACCAAATACGCATTTCTTTGGGTTAAGCATGACCCGGTGCCGCCTGAGTGTGGTGAAGGTTTCTCGCAGGTCTGCTAGGTGATCCGTCTGTAGCTTGGATTTGACTATCATGTCATCGATATACGCCTCTACATTCCTGCCAATCTGGTTGATAAAAACGGTGTTTATCATGCGCTGGAATGTAGCCGGTGCATTCTTCAACCCAAACGGCATCACCGTATAGCAGAATAACCCCTGATCAGTGACAAAAGTCGTCTTCTCCTGATCTTTCTTCCAGAGAGGTATTTGATGGAAGCCGGAATAAGCATCCATAAAGCTCATTAACGCATGGCCGGCTGTTGAGTCGACTAGGCTATCAATCTTTGGAAGCGGGTAGCTATCTTTTGGGCATGCTTTGTTCAGATCTGTGTAATCCACACACATCCGCCAAGTACCGTTCGACTTCTTTACTAGAACGACATTTGCCACCCAATCCGGGTAGTAGCATTGACTAATGAATCCAGCATCCAACAACTTTTTGACCTCAGCCGCTGCCGCTTGAGATCTTTCTCCACCATGATCCCTCTTTTTCTGCCTAACCGGCTGCTTTTTGGGATCTACGGCTAGCTTGTGGACAGCAAGATCCGGGCTGACGCCTGACATCTCTTCCACTTCAAAGGCAAAGATGTCTTTGAATTCCTTCAGCAGCTGGAGCAAACCTTCTCCCAACCGTTCGAAGGCTACCGTCCCGATCTTGACTGTTCTTTCAGGACGGCTGTCATCTAGGATGACATCAAGGCAGTCACCAGCCGGCTGAGGTCGTTGGTCATCTGACCTTTCCCCGGCTAGTGATTGCTATTTCTCCTTTTTGACGGGTGCCAGTTGGTCCGCCTTTCTTTTCATACCGGCTGCCCTTGGAGCCGGGACTGCTGGGTCGCAGTTATCAATATCTATGGGCTCGCCCTGGCCGGCTGCACCCATAGTTGTCTTGACGTCAGAGAGATAGCACTCTCTTGCCGTCTTCTGGTCCCCGCTTAGGGCACCGACTGTACCATCATCCTTTTGAAATTTGACCAACATGAGGGACGGGATGATGACAGCCTTAGATGCGTTGAGGGTAGGACGGCCAAATATCATGTTGTAGGCGGACAGCTCCTCCACAACTAAAAACTTGACTATCATGTGGCGTCCTTGCCCCTTTTCACCCAGCCGGATCGGAAGATCTATGCTTCCGACCGGATGCACTACTCCACCCCCAAAACCGACTAGTGGGTGAGGAGCCTGGTGCATGTTACCGGATGTGTACTTGAGCTTGGTCAAGCACTGATAACTGATTAGGTCAGACGAGCTCCCGGTGTCTATTAGGATTCGGCCAACCTTCTGGTTGACAACCTTGCATTCGATGACGATGGGGTCATCATGAGGCCGCCTGACCTTGCCCCGGTCCTTTTCAGAAATAAGGACCTCAGGAAAGATGTCTTTCGACGCCTGACCCTCATCCACTGAGTTGACCAGCTTCCTGATGTTGTCTTTGGTGCCCCGGATGGTGGGACCCCCTCCGGCAAAACCGCCTGCTATGGTGAAGATGGTCTCTTCATCCGTCTCGGAGTTTACTGGGCCGGTTTTTGCCTCCTGCCCTTTCTTGGCCTGGGTATTACCCTTAGCCTTGGGTAGGTAGGATTTTAGGGCCCCCTCATCTGCCAGACGGTCCAATAGCCGCCTGAGGCTATAGCAGCCATTGGTGTCGTGGCCGACATCCTCGTGGTATTGGCAATACTTGCTCTTGTCCCGTTTATTCACGGGGCTTTTCATTTCAGCCGGTTTGTCGAGAGACATCCGGTCTTTGATTTCCAGGAGGATGGTGGAGCAATCTTTTGTGAACTCGTATTTGGGGACATATGGTTCTGACTTCCGCCTGATCTTCTGGGCCGGCTGTCCTGATCGGTCAGCTGCCCAGACCCCTTTTCTCTTTTCTTCCTTTCTTGCCGGCTGATGCTGTTGCCGGCTCTCTTTTTTGTCAGACTTTTTATAATCTGACGGCTGCTTGACAGCACAAAGCTCCGTCGCCTGTATATAGGCTTCAGCTTCAATTAACGCCTCTTGGAGGGTAGCAACCCTCTTCCGGACGAGGTCAAACTTAAAGGTCGACCCATCCTTCAGACCTCGAAAGAAGTCTGTATAGGCCACTTCGTCTGATAGTCCTGGAATCTGAATTCTCATCAGATTGAATCGTCTGACGTACGACTGGAGGCCCTCCCGGTCGCCCTGCTGTATTGCCCCTAGGTCGAGGCTAGTCTTTTTGGCAGGAATATTCATTGAGAAATTTGACGTAAACAAGTACGCCAAAGTTCGAAAGCTGTTGATGCAACCGGCTGGTAGGTTACCAAACCACCGCTGGGCTATGCCCTTGAGGGTAGCCGGGAAGCATCGACACCAGACGGCATCATCTAACCCCTGGAGGTACATGAGGTTAGAGTAGGTCATTAGATGGTCTTCTGGGTTGGTGGTGCCATCATAGGCCCCCACCAAAACATTCTTGATCTTAGGCGGCTGTGCCGCCTGGGTTATCTCTGGTGAGAACGCCGTTGGCTGTTCCCCCAAATTTAGCAGGCGCAGCTGCCAGTCCGTGGGTTGGAACGGCTGCTGCGCTTGCCCACCGAAAAGACCCGGTGACATGAAAGGGGATCCACCCAACCCATTCGGTGTGCCGAATAGGCCAGGCTGGATCACTTTGGGTCCAGACCGAGCAGAAGCTTCGCCCGTCTGGATCCTAAGGTTCGTTCCCGTACGCCATGGAAACTGTCCGGGAAGGTCGACGTTGAGGCCGACGCAGACGCCTGACCTCGCTTCTCTTGGAGAAATGTGCGGGCGTCTGAGAATGTTTTCTTGGAGCCATCCGGCTGTACGTGCCGGATGGCCTTTCGCAGCTCCCCTTGAGGAAAACGGAGTCTGCTTGGATCAAACCTTAAGCCCTCCCCCTCCTTTGGCTTGGGATGAGGGGTAGGAACTCGTTCTTTGACCGCCTTCTTTCCAGAAGGTTTCTTGGCCGGCTGACCCTTCTTTGGAGTAGCTGACCGGATGAGGCTCTTGATCTCACCCTTGAAACTATTCATGAAAGACATGAGTTCGTTTCTTGTAACGGGGGCTGAGCCCTCCACCGTTTGGGCAATTCCAGCCGGTTGCCCGGCTGGGTTGCTGGGAGCAGCTTGGCTGATTTCCCGTTCTCTTCTATCTTTAGCACGAGGGTGCTTCGTTCTGAAAGACCCATCCGGGGCCACATATGTTTCAATTTCGTCGCCACTTTCATGGTCCGTCTGGACCTCAGGCTCGACCACAGGCCGTTTGCCCTGATTCGGTGACACAGTATCAGAAGTCATCTTAGAAGTACTCTCCCCACAGACGGCGCCAAATGTTTCGGGGTTTTTTGATGTGTCCTGCGGGAGAGTTACAATTCCAAGAATGCCCTTCGACGCCTGTGCCTGCAAAATCACGAAGACTCCTGGGGGTAGGAGCTCCGCCTCCGACGATCAAGTTAGTAAAGATACGGGAGGTAGAACGCACGTAATGTGGAAGTTACTTCTCGCGTAATGGGAGAATTCTGCAATTAATATTGCTCGGGGTAAGTGTTTTTCTTTTTGAGGAGTATTCAATGTGAACAACAAATGTTCCCGCCCCCATTAATGAGGGTCCTTCCACTATTTATAGTGGGGAAGGGATGGTTCCCCTTTTAGGGTTTAGAGGACACGTGTCAGCAGAGGATTGGAGCCCTGCTGACCAACGGCTGGATGCCACGTGTCACTAGGCCGTTGGGCCACGTGTTTAGGGTATTTTTACCCCAAACACTAACTACCTCTGGTTGTATTTTATTTTGCTCATATGCAAATTGTACATTTACGAGTCCTATTTTGTTTTTGTGGCAAGAATTATATATCCGACATCAAGGTTAAAGGTAATGTGTAGTTGCATTCATACTAAAAAGGTAAAGCTACTTCATTACTCTGTGATACAAACAAAAATGGATGTGTACATTTGCTGAATGGCTTCTATCTAGTTTCTTTGGTTGAATTTTTCATCTATCGAATGCCAACATTCAATCTGTTTTCTTGATGATATAGCCACCAACATAACATATGTGCTGAACTTCTGTTTGTGCTATCAAATTATAACTGTAGGTAATGCTAATGCATGTATTTGGCTTCTTTTTGGTGTTTGTTGTGCCGTCTGTGCTTGCTGCAATGAACTTGATGTGGTTTGGGAAGATACTCAGAGGATTGAAGAAGAAGTTAGCAAAGAGACAATGACTCAGTAATGGAATTGCATGGTATTTTCTTAGAATCTTTTTTCTTCGGTGTAAAAATGGTGGGTTGGAAATGTGAAGGCAAAGGGATCTTTTTTCTTCGTGAAGATAATTGTATCGCCATTTTTTATTTAGTTTTTTAAGTGTAATATTACAAGTTATTGAAGAAAATATGTGTTTTATGTATATTATGATTATATATAAGTATTTAATACAATTTAAGTGAAAAAAATGCAAAAAAAAAAATCTGTTTTTTTCTTTGGGTATTATTGGCACCGGTTTTGAACAGAACCGGCGCTAAAAGTTTTTTTTAATTTTTTTTTGCCACTTTTTGTACCTGTTCAAAGCAAGAACCAGTGCTTAAAGTGTGTTTTTTTGCACCGGTTCTCACCCAGAACCGGTGCGAAAAGCATGTTTTCCCACCGGTTTTGAACCGGTGTGAAATGTTTGGGGTTTAAGCACCCCCCGAATCAGGACCGGTTCAAAACCGGTGCTAAATGGGGGTTTTGAACCGGTGCGGATTGCGTGTTTTCGCCTAGTGTGAAGGCTTTTCTAGTCAAGTTCTTGGGACAGGAAAAGACTGCAAGGTTGAAAAATGAGTTATCTACTTTCAGGCAATCAAATGATGAGTCCCTATATGACGCATGGAGGAGATTCAAGCGATTGCAGAGACAATGCCCTCACCATGGTATTCCTGAATGGATGTTGATACAAACCTTCTATAATGGTTTAACTCATGAGTTCCGAATCTATATTGATGCTGCATCCGGGGGTTCTCTCTTGACTAAGAACCCAACTGAGGCGAAGGAGCTAGTTGAGAAGATGGCGACCAATGATAACTATCATCTAGGAGGACGAAATAGTGTGAAGAAGGGAGGTAAATTAGATGTTGATGCTCTAACTCTTTTGACTAGCTCTGTGTAGGCATTGTCAAGCAAGTTCAACAGACTCCAAGCTGGATCATCCGCTAGCTTACCTAAGACTTGTCAAATGTGTAATGTGCAAGGTCACATCGTACCTAATTGCCCACAAAATTCAAATGAGATATCAATCGAGGAAGCCAATTCATTCTACACTTCTAATCCCAAAAGGCCATATGACCCCCACTCTAACACATATAATGAAGGTTGGAAGAATCACCGAAATTTTTCCTACAAGAATACCCAAGCCCAACAAAATCCACCTCCACCACCACCTTGAAACAACAATTATAATGCACCACCTGGTTTCCAACCAAGGCCATCTCTAGTCCAACAACCCATGCAACATGTGCAACCACCTCCTCAAAAATATAACCTTGAGTTAATGATGGAGAACTTTATCACCACAACAAACAATTCCATCTAATAGTTACAAGCTTAGAGCAAGCTCATGGAAAATTAGATGAGTGAACTTGCTCATGAAGTTGGCCAATCTTTACTTTGAGGAATGGAAAACAATTGGAAAATCCTCCCGTATGGGAGCCATCATAGGAGGTTGTTGAAGGGGTAGGCGCAAATGAAAAGGTGGTTGAAAGTACTATGATTGAGGAAGAGTCAAAGGAAACGACTCCACCACCTCTTGCTCTATATGTGCCAAAGGTCCCTTTTCCGCAGAGGTTAGCCCAAGCAAAGTTAGAGAAAAAGTATGGAAAATTTCTCGATATTCTGAAAAAGCTTCACATCAACATTCCATTCTTAGATGCAATATCCAAGATGCCATCTTATGCAAAATTCTTAAAGGATATTCTCTCTAACAAGAAGAAGCTAGAAGGGAATGCTACAGTTGCATTGACTGCAGTGTGTAGTGCAATTTTACAAAACACACTTCCTAAGAAATTAAGCGATCTAGGTAGCTATTCAATTCCGGTCCTTGGAGGCATAGAGATCAACAGGGAATTATGTGATCTTGGTGCAAGTGTGAGTCTTATGCCGCTCTCTATTTGCAAGAAACTTGAAATGGGTGAACTAAAGCCTACGCTCATATCACTACAACTTGCGGATAGGTCGGTTAAGTTTCCTTTAGGTATATTTAAAGATGTTCCTCTTCGCGTGGGAAAATTCTTTATTCCATGAGATTTCGCTGTGATGGAGATGGAAGAGGATTCACATGTTCCTATCATTATTGGTAGACCATTCTTAGCCACTACAGCTGCAATCATTCATATGAAGAATGGTAAAATCACCTTTGAGGTAGGCGACGAGAAAATGGAGTATTCACTCTTGAATGCTATGGGAACTCCATCGATGGGAGAGACTATTTGTCAAGTGGACGTCCTTGATGATTTACAAAGAGAGCAACTTACCATGATCAAGATGGATGATGCACTTGAAACGTCGTTAATGGGGAGTGCCAATGATGAAGATTGGGAAACAAGGGAATACACAAGGCTACTAGAGGAAGCAAAAGCTAACCTAATCATCGCTCAAACCAAAGAAGTCCTTAATGCATCGAGTGTTGGGGAGAGAACTACGCCTCCCGAGGTAGAATTGAAACCCCTTCCCTCTAATCTTCAATATGCATACCTTGGTCCTAATAATACATACCCTGTTATTGTTAATGCTGAACTTAACGACACAATTTAAGAGCAACTGCTCATTATTTTGAGAAAATATAAAAGTGTTATTGGGTACACCATTGATGATATTAAAGGTATTAATCCTTCTTTTTGTACGCATAAAATCGTTCTTGAGGACGATCATGCCTCCTCAATAGAATCTCAAAGAAGGCTTAATCTAAACATGATGGAGGTAGTTAATAAAGAAGTTCTTAAATTGCTTGCTGCAGGAATAATTTACCCTATCTCAGATACTAAGTGGGTTAGCCCTGTACAGGTAGTACTAAAAAAAGGAGGTTTGACCGTTGTTAAGAATGACAAGGGTAAGCCAATCGCCACTAGGACTGTTACAGGGTGGCGAATGTGTATTGATTATAAGAGGTTGAATAAGGCCTCCCGGAAGGACCATTTCCCCCCCCCCCCTTTATTGATCAGATGCTTGAACATTTGGCTAAGCATTCCTTTTTCTGTTATTTGGATGGATATTCTGGTTTCTTTCAAATTCCTATTCGTCCTTGTGATCAGGAAAAGACCACATTCACATGTCCATACGGCACTTTTGCATATCGTAGAATACCGTTTGGATTATGTAATGCCCTAGCCACATTTCAACGTTGTTTGATGACAATTTTTTCGGGCCTTATAGAAAATTCTATGGAAGTGGTTATAGATTATTTTTCTGTTTATGGAACTTCTTTCGATGTGCCTTGATAATTTGAAAAAGGTGCTCGATAGATGTCAGGAAGTCAATCTAATTCTGAATTGGGAAAAATGTAATTTTATGGTTCAATAGGGAAGCGTTTTAGGCCATGTCGTGTCAAACAAGGGTACTGAGGTCGATAAGGCTAAAATTGAGGTTATTGAGCGCTTACCATCTCCGAATTCTGTAAAAGGAGTTCAAAGTTTTCTTGGTCATGCTAGACTTTATCGTTTCTTCATTAAGGATTTTTCAAAGGTTGCTCGACCTCTAACTGAGCTTCTAGCTAAAGATGCTCCTTTTGTTTTTACTGATGCTTGTCTTGAGGATTTTCCCGATTTGGTATCCCACGTATGTTGATTAGTGACAGGGGAACACATTTTTAGCAGCATCGGTTCGAAGTGATGTTGAAGAAATATGGAGTGCAACACAGGCTGGGCATTGGCTATCATCCACAGACCAGTGGTCAAGTTGAAGTGTCCAACCTGGAAATTAAATTTATCCTAGAGAAAACGGTTGCAAGGACAAGAAAGGACTGGTCGGCCAAGATTGATGATGCACTATGGGCATACCGAACAGCTTTCAAAACGCCAATAGGTATAACCTCATATAGACTTGTCTATGGAAAGGCATGCCACCTACCCGTTGAGCTAGAACACCGAGCATTTTGGGCTATTAAGAGCTTAAATTTTGATGCTAAAGCAGCGGGAGAAAAGAGGTTGTTAAAGTTGAATGAACTAGATGAGCTATGTCTTGAAGCTTTTGAGATTTCAAAACTATATATAAAAAGAACTAAGCGGTGGCATGATAAGGAAGGAGATCAAGTTCTTCTATTTAACTTACGGTTGAAATTGTTTCCCGGAAAGCTTCGGTCTAGGTGGTTAGGTCCTTTCACTGTTTTTAAGGCCTACCTCTACGATACTATTGAACTATGGAACAAGACCGGGTCCACTTTCAAGGTCAACGGCCAAAGGGTGAAGCATTACCGTGTTGGGGATCCTATCGAAGAGAAAGTGGACATCACACTCTCTTCCCCATCACCAATTCAATGAGCATCACTACGATCGAGTAAACGACCTTATAAACAAGCGCTTGCGGGAGGCAACCCGTTTTCTTATTTTTTTTTTTTCCTATTTTTCATCTTCTCTTTTTAGTTTTGTGTTTGTGTTTGTTTTGTTTTTCAGAGAACACCGAGCAATGTAAGAAGTGGGATGTCAAGAAGGTCGTCAAAGGTTGATAAAATGAGGAATTAACTCGTCGCCCTGGCAAACCGGGCATGCCACGCTCGACCGGGCGTGAGAAGCAGAGTCATAAGGGGAAGAAAGGGGAGAAAAGAAAACATGAAATATTTTCTAACCCCCAGAACCTGGTCAGACCGGGCATCACTGCCCGATCGGGCGTGAGAAGCAAGAATGCCCGACCGGGCGTGAGAGCCAAACTCGGAAATTACGAATGGAAAAATTTTCTTCTTTAAACGCCCGGGCGCGAAGAGAAACTGCGAGGACAACACGTTTTAATTCACAAAAAAAAATGCCCTCTTCACCATTCTACTCTTTCATTATTCCTACACTCTCTCTCTAAAAACCACAAAATCAAAAACCCTAACTCTTATCCTCTCCTCTAATTCCCACAAACTTCTCTCAAATCCTTTCAATTTCTTCATCCTTCATCACTTCGACCCCATATCCAACCTTCATTACTATTCCTCTCCCTCTAAACACTCATCTCACCCAAAATTTTTCTTTTTTAGAGAGAGAAAGCTTGAGAAATATTAATGGCTGCAAGGAAGAGAAATAGGAGCGCCCCTCAAGAACCACAACTAGATTTGGAGAGCATTCCAGGGTTCCCAAACATCAAGTTCGTGGCCGAATTTCCAAATCAAAAGAAGCGATTCCCAGAGCTACAACATCGGGAGGTAATTCCCACTCATTTTATACACCGTTCTCTTCTTGCTAAATTAGGAATAGATTCCAATTGTAGAACCTTGTTTTCTAAGCTTGGCATGTCTCAATTGTTTAACATGATCCATTATACATATGAAGATATCACTCTTGAATTTTTGAGCTATTTTGATATAGTAAAAGGTAGAGATGGTTTGGTGACACACGTAGTTTATAGATTGTTGAATAAATCCCACTGTCTTACACTAGATGGTTTTGGTAGGAAGTTTGGTCTTCCGTCCATAGGATTACCCATGCAACCGAACAATTTCATTTTTGGGGATTTGTGGTTTGCCATGACAGGTGAAAACATTGAGTCTATGCAACATGCTCCCGCTAACAAAATCCATTAACTAACCCGTCCTTAGACTTTTGACTCGCTTTTCTGGGTGGAATATTTTTAGACGGATAGAACCTAATAAAGTTAGGGCAGACAAGTTGCAATCTTGGGTAGTTATCTATGATATGGGGATTCTGATGAGGGTTTTCGGATGAACATTTCTCACCTACTTCCCCTTCATCTTAGGAAATAGGAACTTACCTTCACCACTGTCAAACCTAATGGAGACCGTACCAACATCCCTATAGTCGTAGGCGGTTTGGTGACCCACTTGGCAGTTAAGGAGGGTTTTGATGAAGCCCACCATACACCAATGTCGGATCCTATTACCTTGGACTAGCACTACTTCACTACCACCGGCTGGTTGTCAGTTGAATTTGGTAATTACAGTTGGCTCATTGGAAAGAGCAATAGGCGTTCCATCTCCTTACCCTCTCCTGACCTTTTTAAGATTCGCCCTCACCAACCTTCATATATTTTAGAGGTTCCTAGCAGTTCACTTTCCCTAGTTGCCCCCACGAGGACTTACTATAGGCGAGAGTCTGCTGGACCCTCCACATCTTCCACTACACCACCTGTCTCTTTTGACAACGAGGCCATCATGGCCTGTATACGGGAACTTCAGCTAGGCCAGCAAGGCTTTTGCTCTCGTATCCAGACACTTTAGACCGATTTTCGCTTATCTATGCATCCTGTCTTTGATTATTTTTACAGGCAAGGTCATATTCCAAGGGATGCTTCCCATCCTTCGTGGTATACCTTTCCCAATGTGGGAGATATTACAGGTGGTAGCGGGGCAGCCGATGATGATGATGATGGTGACGATGATGACGGTGATGATGATGATGATGAATTTGAGTGAGGATTCATAGGTGTTTTTCCCACCTTCCACACGTTGCAATGAGGCCATTGCCAAGTGTAGCTTGGGGGAGGCTTGTGTATATGTATATATCTCTTGGTACGTTCTCTTATTTACTTTTTCTTTGATTGGTTTGTTTTATTGCTTGGTTGTGTTAAAAAAAAAATATACGAGAATCATGATAATGAATGGCTAGTGAACTACTTCCCTGTGCCCCTATCCTCGATGCCCAAAGGTTTTTGACTTGATCTTGATTGAAAGGCTTGCATTGCGGATTAAATGATCATGATTTAACCTTGAATTGTTTTGATCCCTAGTAGAAGTCAACTTTGTTAACCATGTATGAGTCTGGAGCTTGACTGTGTCAAATGTGAGCCTTGAGCCTTAATTATTTATTCATGTGTGTCTTGTTCCTGGTGTGATATTGATCTTAGTTTTGACTTTAGACTCTTAGTAATGTGTTATAATACATTGCACGTGCACGTTGAGAAGGACGAAGGCCTTGTTCTTTAGGTGAGCTCCAAATGAATTTAGAAACGTTTGATCCCTTCTTGGTCACCCATGTTGTAGCCTTTTCCATATTTTTCATGAAAGCAACTAAATTAACCTCTTGGCCCCAATTGGTTACTTTTCCCAAGTCTAGCTTGGGGGAGCTTTATATCGTGGTGTTTGTTTAATTTTGTGATCAAATTGGCGTTTAATGTGGACCTCTAAGAAAAAAAAAAAGAGAAAAGAAGGAATCACAAGCATGGAGGTTTTATCCTTAGAAAGTGAATGAAAAAAAAGACAAAAAAAAAAAGGGAAGTAAAGTGAAGAAAAAGAAAGATGACAGAAAGAATAAAAAACAAATTTAAATAAAGAAAAAGAAAGAAGAATGAAAAATAAAGGTAGTAGTGGATGTTCACAATGTAATTGGGATATGTGCTCTTGTAAGTATGAATGATGGATCGAGGATGTTTATTGATTATGCTCAATAGCTCCCCGATTAGACTATAATTGCCTACATCTCCCAAATTTACTTCCTCCCCACTTTTACCCAACCTACATAACAAGCTTGAAAAGACCTTCTGACCTTCGTGCATGGTATTGTGTTCATGTGAAATGAGTCCCTTGTAAAAATGCTGGAGCATATGTCACATTTCGAGTCGACATTTAACTAGGTTGAGCGATAATATAACCCTTTAAACACGCGAGTGTTGTGAGATGGGTGGTTTTCATTATTAGTGGGGATGGAGAGAGATCGAGCTCATTTTTAGCTTGCCACATAAATGTTGTGTAGAGTGACCACCAAGTGAGATATTCTAATCATCGATTCCTGAGTTATACATGGTTGATTCCGCTTGACAACTATTTAGGTTGATTGATGGTTTGAGTGATTTGATTGGTTTGCTAAGATTCGTGCTTGTTTGATTTCGATTTTGAGTCTGTTATTTTCAATTGCATTATGGGGTGAAGTAGTTTACTTGGTTGTTTATTGTTTTTGATTGTCTTGTTTGAGGGCAAACAAGAGGTTAGCTTGGGGGAATTTGATGTATGTGTTTTATACCATGTTTTACCCCAGTTTTATAGCGTATATTTGCATGGTTTTTGGGCTCTACGGAGCCGTTTCTTGCTAACAATCTCTTCTCTAGTGTGTTCAATCTATTTTATTGAATTTCACTGGAATACAGAGGTTTCTTGGATGAATTGGACCTGTTTTGGATGGTTATGGAAGAGGTTGTTGAGTGAAAGATGAAGATTTCCCCAATGCCCTAGCTTCTAGGGCGAAGGAAGGAAGAGCTAACTATGAAGAATCATCATACATCCCACATGCCCTGGCTGACAGGGCAGTGAGGAGTGTTATTCTCAGAGCTTCATTCAAGAAGTTGTTACACGCACCCGACTGGGCACCACATGCCATGACTGACCGGGCATAAGAAGAAGAACACAGGAAGAAGGAAATTACTTCGTCCGCCCAATCGGGCAGGCTCCGCCCCGACAGACCGGGCACTGTTGCGCGATGACCGTCTTTAACTAATTACGGGATTCTATCTTTTTAAGGGTATAAATACCCCTTGTAATCACATTTAGAGAGTAGATTATTTATTTTCTCTAGTATTATAACTACTTTAAAACCCTAGTTTTCTCTTCTTTCAGCAATTAAGTTCTACTCTTAGTTTGGATCATTGTGCATCAACAATTCAAGTTCTTTCAATTGAAGCAATTGGTATTTATCTATTCTCTTAACTTTTAATTTTCATTACTCATTAATTATGTTTTCTTTAGTGAATCTTGTTTTTGATTTCGATAATATGTGTGAGTAGATCCTTAATCTGGGATCTTTTAAAGCCTGAATATGATTAATACATGAATTGAATCTTTAAATTCTCCAATAATAATCCCAATTGACATGCTTAATTGATTATGTTTATGCCAATGCTAGATTAGGAATAATTAGTATTGTTATCATCCCTTTGTTCTTATCACAACGGAAGTTGGGATTAACAGGATTTGGGTATTTCAATTAAGGGTTTGAGAGTCATTACAGGAGTAGGTGATTGGATGATTAGGAAGTTAATTATTGTGTTTAATGTCCCTTATTTGCTTGATTCCATGGAAATAGGCTTGATAGTTGATTTGGGAGGCCGTTGGTAACTCGGAAGAGACCTTTGGTATTGTTTAGGAAATGCTTTTCTTCTTGTCGATTGATTTGTTATTGGGGGTAGATTTATTCGTGCATTGATTATATTCGTGGTAATGCTTCATCTTGGATGCTTTAATTCATTAATTATCATTTTCTCTAGATTAATTGTGGTATTTAATATATAAATCATTAGTATTAGTCATTATTGATTCGTTACTTGCTTAGTGATTGCTTAAGTCTAATTAATTAGGTCAACCTTAATCTCTTGGGATTCGACTCTTACTTGCCCGACTACATGAGTTAGGAGGAATAGTTAGGTTTATTTTTGATAGGTACGCGACACGCCTATCAACCACCAAAGGGGGGACCAAATCACCTTGCTCCCCAAGCCAAACAGCAACCCCTTGGTCCCCTCCCTTTGACCGGCAGACCATGCCACATTGCTGGTTGGCAGCCTAATTTGGCTGCCAGCTGGCGCCTAGCACCAAGGCTGGATAGCCCAGCCAACCAGCACGCATCATACTCTCAGCCAGCTAGCACGCAGCACATGCGCAGCCAGCTAGCACACATGCGATGCTGCTGTGTTGCTACTAGGCGCTGCTGCTGCTTGGTGCGAGGCTGCGAAGAGTTGGCACGCACAACATGCTGCGATGCCCATGCTAGGTGCGTGCAATGCTTGCGGTTAGGTATATAGCTCAGCACACTAGCACGCTAGCATGCTTGCGGCCATCAACACCAGCCATGCTAGCATGCTTGGCCTAGCACACAATGCGTGCTAGGCTTGCGGCATGCTTTGCGATGTGCATGGTAGCTTAGGCTAGCCTAGCACTCGCATGGCTAGGCCAATGTGAGGCTACGACCTAGCTCGAACTTGTCGGTTGCTTGATTCCACATCTCGTCGAATTCTAAATTCGACTCAACTTGTGACGCTCGGTCTCGACGGTCTAAGCTCGATATCCGACGTCTTTGTTTTTAATACTCTAATGACTCATCTAATCCTTCGGATTGATTCGTCGTTTCAGATCGGTTATTCAAAAGAGGTGCGACCCGAAGAGTTCAGTCAAGATTAAGCCGTAATTTTAGTAATGCATTAATATTACTGATCGGAAGCGGTCTGCACCTAGGCATTCCGATCACTTGACCTTACTGAAGAATTAGCTTTCTAATAATACCGAACCCTCTATCAGAATAATACACTTGTTGGAAGGACACCATTCCTTTCTATCTCCCACTTGTCCTTCTAGACAAGTGTGCAGTTAGTGTATAACCCTTTTCCTATGTCGTTTAATGTCTCTTCATGAACTATAAGGTAAGATTCTTCATCATCCTTATTACGTCTAGATTCCCGAGTTTGACTGTCAATTAGCAGATGATTTCTAAAATCCATCTGAGCACGACCATGCATTTTCACAGTCTCGCTTTTCGAGAGGCCTTGTAAACAACAAAGACATATTCCCTATTGTTAATAGGGGGACATTCCCAGTCTTGTATTGTTAGCTTCCCTTACTAAGAGTACCTAGTCGCCCGAGTGTTGCCGTTATAATCCCCATATACGACAGACGTTTGACAACATCAAAACGAATAGTACTCAAATAAGAGAACTTACAATACTCATGGTCGAGGAAAAAGGTTCCGTAGCTATAATGAGAAATGTACTTATGACGGTTTTAAAATCTCTTAAAGTACTCTCATAGGTCGATCCGGTATAGTTCCAAACTAGTACCTGTGCAAATGGTTTATGACAATCATGTCCTCGTAGCACAAGAAACGGTGCTATAAATCATACTACACAATGATCTCAAGTGGTCATTAATTGTCCATCGTTTAAATGACCTTGATTAGGGATAAATTTCGATTAAAATATTCAATGTTCACTTAACATGTGTTTCTTTATACATGACATGGTCTTGATACCCTGTTTTGAATATTCTCAAAAATCGAATTGACTCATTATTTAATTCTAAACCACAATTAAATAGAAATGGAGTAGTAACAAATTTGCAAAAAATTTAATTGCTCCAAGACCGAATGGTTTAACATACTGTTGTACATTAAGACATCAAATTTAATTAAAACACATATACAAGGGAATCAAAGCCAATCTCCAACATGCTTGATTCCTATTTCCTCAACGTGCTTAGTGTGCTTCACTTGAGGCAAGGTAGTCAATGGATCGGCTACATTGTCGTCCGTTCCAATCTTACAAATTCTGATTTCTACCTCGGACTTCCATTCCCTTATCATGTGAAATAGCCGCTTGACATGTTTGACCTTCTGGTGTTCCCTTAGCTCCCTAGCCTGAGCAATAGCTCCATTGTTATCACAATAGAGGTCTATCGGACCCTTGATGGAGGGTACAACACTAATTTCACTAATGAACTTACGTATCGAAACTCCGTGCTTATTTGCTTCTGAAGCTGCCAAGTATTCGGCTTCACTTGTAGAATCTGTAGTGGTGCTTTGCTTAGCACTCTTCCAAGTAACCGCTTCTCCATCCACGCAAAATATGTACCTTGATTGCAACTTGGAGTCGTCAAAAGCTATCGAAAAGACTCATCTGGATTCTTGATAAAACCAAACTTACTATTGGCTTTATCGGATCGCATATTCTAACTTCTGCTTGCCTGCTTTAGTCCATAAATGGACTTCTTAAGCTTGCATACCTTCCCAGCATTGCTTGCATCAACAAAACCTTCCGGCTGTGTCATACAGTTTCTTCAAAAATCCCATTAAGGAAGACGGTTTTGACATCCATTTGCCATATTTCATAATCGTAATATGCAACAATCGCTAGGATAATCCGGACGGATTTACGCATTGTGGCTGGCGAAAAGGTTTCATCATAATAAACACCGTGAATTTGCCTGTAACCTTTTGCCAACAGTCTAGCTTTATATATAGAAACATTTCCATCTTTGTCTATTTTCAACTTGAAAATCCTTTTGTAACCTATAGGTTTGTAACCTTCGGGCAAATCAACCAAATCCCAGACTTGATTTTAAGACATGGAGTCCATCACAGATTTCATGGCCTCTTGCCATTTTGCAGAGCCGGGGATCGTCATAACTTGTTTGTATGTCGCTGGCTCATTTCCATCCATAACTAGGATGTCTTAATCTTCGGTTAAGACAATACTAAGGTATCTGATTAGGGGATTTTGCTCCCACCAATCAGAATGCGCCACATGGGCCAATCAGGTCCTGCCAAGTGTCCCCCAGTTGGACCTCTCAGGGCTTGCCACGTGGCACACTCTTATTCGTCCACCCTGGACCTACTATGTCATGACACGTGGCATACTCCATGCCTAATGGAGAAGTCGGCCACCTAAGCCCAACTTTCGAGGGAAGCCCAATCAGCCTAAGGTTAACCTAAACCTAGGATTGGCACGTTTCCGGAGGTTATAAATACCTTCCTTAATCCTCATTAAGGGGGAGGACACAGATTACACACATTAAACACTCTCACCTAGAGAGACCCAATCACTTTAATTTCCGCATTAATTATTACTTAATCAAGTACTAACTTGACCGTCGGAGGCGGATCTCCAATCATCCGGAGAGACCTTTTGTTTTGCAGGTACAAGCGTCCAGTTCCAGTCTCGGAATTGTAACTCTCCCGCAGGACATCAGAAAACCCCGAAACATTTTGGCGCCGTCTGTGGGGAGAGTACTTCTGAGATGGCACCCATGTCTGTATCGACTCCTGAAGAGAGGCGTCCCCTAGACGACCCTCAAGTTCAGTCGGACCATGATACTGAGAACGAATTTGAAGTTGAAGCTCACACAGCTTCAGACGGGACCCTAAGGGCCCGACGTACCCGTCATACCGAAAGGAGGGAACGGGAACATCTTCAAACTGGAAGTGAGCCAGCAGGCGCACCGCCTTTTCGGCAGCAGCCGACTGATGGGTCTGCTCCCATCACAAGGAACGAACTCATGACCTTCATGAGGGACTTCAAGGGAGAAATTCAAGAGTTGATCAACAAGAAGCCGCCTGCTCTGGACAAGGAGCAGTCGGCTAAGAAACCCTCCACTTCACGGAAGAGGAGGTCAGTTCAAGGGCAAGAGGCGACCCCTCATCCTAAATCTAGGAAGTGGGAGCCGCCTGCCCTCACAAAATACCGTTTTCCTACTCCAGGAAAGAGGAAACCTGTTCGTCATATTCAGGCGGACGGGTCGAGGAAAACATACACAGATGCTCGGTTATTACTAGAACAGAAGAAGAGTGACCGATTGTCAGAGTCGGCCTCTACTTCAAACATCCAAGACAGTCTGCGCAATACTTCGATGAGGCATACTCAGTCGCATCATGAGAGCCAGTCAGGCGGTACCTCCCGTCCGTCCGGCTTTCACAGTGACCAGGCGGTACCAAACTTACCATTTGTACCGCAACAACAATATTTTTTGCAGCCACCTCTGTTTGGTGGGCATGCAACAAAGAATGTCCAACCTATGGACTGGCAGCTACGGTTGCTTAGACTTGGCGAACAGCCGTCGGCCTTCTCCAAGGAAATTACTGAAGCCGCTCAGCCGGCCAAAGTGAAAAATGTATTAGTAGGCGCCTATGACGGCACTACTAACCCAGAAGACCATCTGATGGCATT